GATTCCATAGGATCCCATTATCAGTTGATTCCATATTGATGCTTCCAGAGGTTTGATCCCAGCAGGAATAGGAAGGTTTAAACCTTTCCTCTTCGGAATCAACAATAAAAATCTATTGGCAGATTTGCATTAATTATGGAAAAGCTCAAAAAAAACCCTTTCTGTTTTCAACAAGAATATAAAAGTAACTTTTAAAAATTTATTATAAGTGGGAAACACCCCCTTTTCCAAAGATTTTCCTTCCCATCCTGTGCTTTTCCTGGGTCACACAAAGCCAGAAAATTCTGCTCTGGAGCAGATCTGACCTACAGAGGAGAAATAAAAACCTTGTCAGGAGAATGACTCGGCACTGACAGCATTTTATGGGCTGTTAATCCACCAGCAGGATTTCTGGGAGCTGGGAAAAAACATCCTGACGTGTTCCTGCCCTTCAGGAGCAGGATATCACCCCTGGAATGGGCTGGATTAGGGCAGTTTAACAGCTGTCACTCCGAGATTACTTCCAGCTGTTCACTGACAAAGAGGATTCCCTGACTTTTCTCCTCATGTGATTTATGGGAATTAAAGACCCCCCCCCCTTTCCACATCAACCAAGGGATATTCCAAATATGAGCCATTTAAACTGAAACACGTGGGTGTATTTACTGCCAAGCAGAAGCCTTTGGCTTCAGATCTTCTGCTCCCAAGATTTCTTTCATTTCCTAATTTTTAGAATTCCAGACCAATTAAAAAAACAGCTCTCGAAAGCAACTCCCTCTGCTATTATTATTATTATTATTATGATGATGATGATGCTAAAATTTTTAATACTGCCAGGATGAACACACCCATCACTTGACTTACCACTTATATTTTACTTACAAGTTTGCTTTTAACTCGTTTTTACCCTGAAGACAACGCTCTAGGAAGGGAAAAATGAACTCACAGCTGCTTTTTATGGTTAATCCTGAACGTTTTAAAGCAGAAAATGAACGAAAAGGAGTCACAGACTTGATGCATAAAGGAGATATTTCCAGAGTTCAAAAGAAAACAACAGATGGGCTTAAGAGCTGCCTGGGTTACAGCAGGGGATGAGATGAGCAATTCACAGACTACACAGAGTCTGATAATGAATAAAAGGCATTAAAACCCACCAATAAATTATTCTGATGTCCTATAATTTATCATAGAAGAATTAAAGTCTTTTTTTTTTCCCCCCTGAGTTAGAACCACTCTCTGTTCCCTTCCTCCTGGTCACTTCACGGCACAAACTCAGCAGTGCTTTTGCATTTGTAGCAGTTTGTGAGCTTGTGTTTGAGACAAACCAGGCAGAATTCCAGTTTTATCCCAAGAAATTCAGCTGGAAAGGACTGCAGCTAAAAACACAGGAGGACAACAAGCATTTCAAGGAACCCCATCACGTGCTAAATAAGAACATTGCACTGAAACAGAAGTTGCTCCAGTTTGAAAAACACCAAAAAGAATAAACACAACCCTAAAAAC